GTTGCTTAACGACAACGATCGAGGATCGCGGCGCTTATCCACGACGCCACCGAGCAATTTTAAACCTAATTCAACTGATTACGGTCTGCATAACAGAATATTAAGTAACAATTAATTTTTTGATATTCTTATATATCGATAGATTATTATATCAAATTAAGGTTACAATATTAACATATTTGCCGTATTAATTACTAGCGTTTACTTTTTTGAACTAGAATATACACCTGTAAGTAATCTTTCAAGTTTCTGACTAAAGCAATTATCGTAACTTTCGTTGCGTTACTAAATAATTTTCGGTAGTATCACAATAAAAGTTTAACTTGCCATTAGATTAGTTTTGCTTACAGTCTGGTTTTGAAGAAATCATCGTGTCGAATGAAATGCCATACATTGGCTTCGATTTCATTGATATTAGTTTATTAAAATACACTTATTGGTAAATTGCATTGGATCCAAATTTTTATATTTATTGAATCTAAGGCAATGTTGTTACGCGGTAGCCCTAGTAGCCGTCTTTTTTCGTTGATGATTCTCATTACTTATTTTATCGATTGTATTTCCGTTCCGCTAATCTTTTTCATCCTTCTCCAACACTACAAAAGCCCTACACTACTCTGGATAATTTTCTTGGGTATGTGAATAGATGTTACTTGACACTAAACGCTGTCTTAATCATCGTAGTTTTCATTATTTTTATAAAAAAAAACAATAGTATAATTACTAGTCCTTAAAAATATAAAAATTATCGAATACATGTAAAAATAATTGTTAAATCATAATAGATACATACACATCAAATAGTATTTAGAAAATCGGCAGGGTTTGTTATTTTTTTCTTAATAACATCGTAGTAAAATCGAACGCATTGAAAGCATTTGTATATTTCTACCGTTTATGTAGCGTTCACAAAAAATAGGTGACCTTGGAAGTACTTTTATCTCTAGGGAACCTTTTAGTAGGATGTAAAGAAGCTTATATATTAATCCAGACTATGCATTTCTTATATACCAAATTTCGTTAAAATCCGTTCAATATTTTGGTGAAAAAGTAACAAACATCCAAATACCCAAATCTACATACTCGTCTTTATAATATTAATAGGATAACCTTTAATAATCTATTTTTAACCCTCAATCAGTTAACTACAAGAAATAAAAATTACACTATACGAAACAAATAATGATAATATTCGAGAAATTTTACGTTCACGAATATCTCAGGTACACGAATCATAAAATGCACTCAAAAGCAGCGAAAATAACAAATGCTCGACAAATTCAGCAGTCTCTCCGTCCTGCTATGATCTCGGGTGGGTAACTCAATTGATTAGAGCTGTCGCCTGGTTTATGAATACGTATAACATTGTATTTTTTTGTTGATAAAATTCAACAAATTTATGTTTACCCCAGTATTATCAGTTATAAATGTGATATAGGAAATAAATTAATTTTTAATCTATCTTTATATTTTGTTTAATATCTTATTGCAATCTTTTTATTATAGAGCATGACATTAACTTGTGTCATTTCTAAGGTCTCCTGAAGTTTAATCGGTCGGGTGTTGTTGACAACGAATTTTCCTAGATTATTTCGAAACTAAGTGAACTCGTGAAACTTCCTTTTGGATTTTCTTAATACTTACCTTCGTTTCCTAGTAGCTAAATTTAAACAAACTTTATCGCCTCCTATTTTTTAATTACTCGATTTTTTTTTTCATAAAACACTGTTTTCTGCAAATTTTTAATCGTTCGACTTGGTACTGCCCACGTAATGAATAACTTGAATGAACACAATAAAGTAAATATGTATTAATTATTGCTATTCTTTTTTAATTAAAAATACAACAGTTTACAAGTAGGTAGGTACATTTTTAGGTGATATCGATTAAAATGAGGTTTACTGTACAGTATCGTCATATTGGCAGCTTCTATACATAATTATACAAATATTCAAATAATTTTAACAATTACAATAAGATATCTAATTTACTAGCACAACGGCGGTACACAGAAATTTTTTGTCCGCACGCAGCTAACATAATAATTTTTAAATGTACCTATAGAAAGTACGAAAAATAATATAATAAATAGTTTCTGTTGCGTTTTGTGTCTCTTATTCATAGAATATCAAGTTTTCATATAATAATATTAGCGCTCGACGTTTGTCAAATGATTTAAAAATAATGAAATAGAACTTTTGGAGTCTCGAGTATTTCCAACTTCGAGAATACAAAGCTATGTGTTGTTATTTAATATATTTTATTAATGAATGAGTAATACGATGTCTAGTATTTATTTATTTATTAATTTAAACCCACATTAATAATAAGTAAGGTTCGCGACTTTCTCGCTTGGAATTTCATTCATTTGTGGATTGTTGTGAATTAAAGCAATTCTGTGCTCATTAAGAATAGACATGTCGGAGCGGTCGACCCTAGGACAATATCATAGGGTTTTCTTTTGTTCGCTAATTATCATATTCAAGTTTGTTTCTTTGTAGGCGAAAGAAAATGCTAGCGTTCGTTACAAGCTTATATTAGATTGTATAAGACGGGTATTAACGCGATAGATTTACCTAACTATCAAAATCTATCGCGTTAATACCCATCTTATACAATCTAATATAATGCAAGGCGAAAGTTTAAAAGTTTATACAAGCTTATATTCCTTACTAATTGTACTGCTTCTTACTACTTAATACTTCTTCAAATAATTTACAAATTTAAAAACACGCCTACCAAATCAACTGAAAATAAAAGAAACAAGTTGTATTATAGATTGGCTAAACAATTCTCAATGCAACCTGGGGACCGTTCTGTGAAACATTTATAATATAAGAGGGCACGCGGCTGCAATGTATGTACGTATTGCTACGCTGATATTATCCTGAGCAATTAAACGTATAAATCTCCAGTCATCACCAGCCCTTTTACGTCCCCACTGCACGGGGCTCAGGCCTTCCTTATGGATGGTTAAGGAGGATGGGCCATGACCCTCCACGCTGGCCCAATGCGGATTGGAGGGTATTAACGACTGCAAATGCAGCCGGGACCAACGGCTTAACGTGCCTTCTGAAGCACGGAGTAGCTCGAGATAATAATTTTTTGGTTGCCCATCCCGTGACCGACACTTGCGAAAGTTGCTTAACGACCACGATCGCGGGCCGCGGCGCTTATCAACTACGCCACCGAGCTACTAAAATCTCCAGTAAAACGTAATTAATAAAAAAACTCTAAAATTAACTATATACAAGAGATATGTAAGACCTATACAATATTAATCAAATTATAATAAGTTGTAGATTTACTCACAGCGCAGGTTCTATTTCTAGTTAATTTCATGATATAGTAAGTTTTGCCCGTGACTATGTTTGCATATAAGTAGGCAATTATTTGTTCTGGGGTTTTAATCGATTTCCTTTACTTTTAAATTATCACACAACTAACTAAAACTATCTTATTTTCTACCCAGGATTTCCTAGTTTTTAATTTAGTTAAATCGGTTAAGCGTTTTAGGTGTGGCTTCGTTTAATTTTGCGTTTAACAGATTAACTTTCGCATTCATATTTTTATTAATAAAGAAATATCTTTATATAGTCAATAAATTATCTCATTGAATTCGTGACGGTCAATTTATCAATTCTTTCATCAATCATCTATGCATGATTACGACAAAATCTATTATTAGTAACTTTTAAACAAAGAGTACATAAAGTCGTTGACATTTAACGGATTACTTTGTTTGAGAAGAAACAAAAATGTATTGAGTTAATATCAATTAAAACATTGTTAGAAAATATTCGTAATATTGCTCATAAAATATTGTTTTTAATAGTGAGCTTAAGACCGTGATTATTTTAATATTTATTTGGGAATAATGGCATTACAATTAATGAACATAGAAAAATATTTTCGGATATAGTTTAAAGCGAGGACCTGAACCCGAGGTTTGCGAAGTGTTTTTGGTATGCTCAAGTCTGAGACTGTCGACATTTTTAAGTATTTTCTATAAGATACATATTGTTATATAAGATATGTATTGTTAATGCATGCATAAATAAATTTCAGGAATTAATATCAGTTTATATGAATAAGTTGATCTGTATGGTAAAATAAGACTATTGTAGTAAACACGAAATTTAATTTGACTCATTTTTTAAGTTATAATTTTGTTAATGTTCGTTTGCAATGTTATTTAAACATTATATTTAGTAATAAGGGTTATTAATAACAACTATGAATAACAATGAATTAATGAAAAAATTCTTTATTGTACACCATAATTATAGAAAATTACATTCGATATAGTTTAGTTGCACAATCGGCGGCCTAGACTATACTAAATACCTTATGTAGTGATAAAATATTTTGTCTTCTATACATAACTAAATGTTATATTGGAGTGATGTGTATGTAACTTAACAACGATTATTTAATTGTTTAAACCGAATCCAATCTGATTATCAAGTAAAGCTTTTGTACATACGAATATGATATCGTTTACTGTATAGAATAGGTAAGTAAAAATTTACTTACTCTCTAAAAAGTTATGCATGTTTTAACAAAAACAAATACACGTGTCGAATTGAAAACCACTTTCGATTTTTTCGTCGGTTAAACATATTTAGAACTCGAAAACTTTGAAAATTGCAAAGTTTCTGAATTCTGCAAATGAAAGTTGTTTAATATATTACATAAATAAGTATTTCATTCATTTGTATTTACACTAAACTACAACCGGAATAAATTTTAAACAGTAGAAATCTTTTTAATAGATTTGTCTTCGAGAAATTGATTGGAATAAAGTATTGGTTCACCGTCAATAGGTTGTTATTGTAATAGATATTGTTTAGAAATTTTCAGTTAAATTATGAATTAATCGAGTAAGTACACGAATTAAATTTCAAGTTTCCTCAATATTTTAATTAGGTAATTTTTATCTAAATTAATGTATCGGAATATTCAAGTAAAGTGTTTATTTTTTTTACACGAGAAAAAATTGCATTGAAGCAATACAATATTCACTTACCTTAGTGAGATGAAGTTTCGCTTGTGACTGGAAATAGCGCGTCACCAGCTTCCGTGTTCGTCGCTGATGCTTTTTGAAAGCAAATGAGCGGTTGTATGGACCGCTGTCGCTTATATAGCTACAACGTAGCGCGGTACTGTGCGTAAGTGATTTCGTCCTGCTACAATGCTACACCTCCCGCTACAGTATTTGCTACGTGCTACGTACTACGATATCGTAGACATGGAATAAGATAAGATATTTTCTTAAAATAAATATACAATATACAGTTTTATTGCTTAATTCCAATGTTATTTTTAATTGATTACTCCAAGAAAACACTGTGTAATTACAAAATGTTTATTCATAAGAACATTAGTGTGAAAATATTATACGAACTTCAGACTTTAGTTATATTTAAGTGCAACATTTCAATGGTTGCTTTGAGTAGAAGAATAAATTAACTTATTAAAGAAACTATGAATTGAAAGAACGTTTAATATTAAAGTATATTTTAAATTATTATCTTTTTTGAATAGTTTAATTTGAATGTAAACGTATAATACCTGCGCCGGTTTATTACTTTTAGAATGAACAATTGTTATGACGCTCTTTTTTGTGACACAGAAGTAATAATATTTCATTTGTTTTATTGAATTTTTTATTTGATTTGTGTATATGAGTGTTAATAATTGTAATAAATGGAATAAATAAATAAATAAAATATTGATGATTTAAAAGTTTCAGTAGACAACCTCCATAGTGGCACAGACGCCGGTTTCAACCGCTCGAGTTGGTTCAATGTAGAAAATGTTTATGTATTGTCATTAGTTTGGGCATTGTATTACCTTCGTTATACTAGATTCCAATAATACAAGTGCTTGACCTAATTTGGGATCAGAACAGTGTTTGTGATGTTGCCGAATATTCACTATTATCTAATTCTCTTTTTCAAATAATCACAGAAGACATAAAAATAATGAAGGTAACACCACATCCCGACCCGATACAATGTAGAAAAGTTTATTTCCTATATTGACACAACAGGGGATCGAACCCGGGACCTCAGAAATGGTGTCACCTTGAATACGACATGACTCAGTGAACTAGGTCGCCTTAGGTATACTACGTAATTTTTTAACCAACTTAAAAATCGAAAATTACTACACTATGACACTATTTTTTTAATACCTAGTTATCACTCCGTGTGTTTGTCAGTTCGAATCGTTTTATTTTGTTTTCAACTTCCTCTATTTCAGTGTACGAATAAATTTAAATGAAATTACTTTTAAATTTACCCATGTCTTTTATAAAAGATTGAGACACGCATACAGTGGAGAGGTAGGTAAATGTAATTTATTTTTATTAAGCTCGAAACAACTCGTTCTTTTTTTGGGGGAGTTTATTTTAAATTGAAAAACCCTTTGTGGTGCGGAGGCGATCTGGTGTTTGTAATACATACAAGTTTTACTGTGGAATTTTAACGAGGGGAAATAGTGTGTTCTTTAATTCATTGATAAATATGTATATTAGGCAACATTACATATTATTACATACTCAGACTTCTAAACTGAGAATGTAAACTATTTTTACTATGTAAATTTGTAATAACAACGATACCACAATACCCAGATACGAGACTATATCGTCAGCTTATTAATTTCCCCACTACTGGAGTTCAGACGTTTCTTATGATGGACCATCGATTCCCTTTGATGGAATCGACTCAAGACTCAAATCCAATAAGGAGAATGGGGAATGATCCACACTGGGCCCGAATGGTGGACCATTCGGGCCCAGTGTGGATTAGTGGATGTTAACGACTGCAGCCGCATCCGAGACCAACGGCTTTACGTACCTTCCCAGCTCGGAGGAGCTCGAGATAATAATTTTTTGATTACCTAATATCTATGAACGCCCCTTGCGAAAGTTGCTTAACAAACGTATCGCAGACCGAGCACCTTAATCACTGCACCATCGAGCTCCTTAACTATATAAAAGAAAGTAGGTAATGGTCTACATTTATCCAACTGGGAATTGAATCCGAAACCTCAGAGATGGCAACGCCTTAAACCCGACGTTAGTAATTTAGTGGTGGACTTGTGACATAATTTACGGGGGACAATCTAGTAATATTCTATTAGTATTATAATACGGTTTAAGATCCGGTGGCTTAAACCTGCAGGGACCTTTTTTAGCTTTAAATTTATGTAAAAACCCGTGTTAGTAGAATATACTATACAACATGTTTTATATAAAAAATAGCCGGCTATAATCACCTTTTTTATTAATTTGTCTTTAAAATTTTCATTTGCATATTACTTAATCCTAAACCATTTAAAAGAAAACAATCTAGAGAACAGAAGAAAATGGTTGCTAACTCGCAGTCAGTCGCTATCTATGAGGTACCAGGTGTTGTGGATTCCAATCAAACATTATTTCATCATTATGCTGAAACATTCATTATGCTTAAGAATCATCATTTCACAGATAAAAAAAAAATGAATAAAGAATTTCTCAACTGTATCACGTGTTTGTTTTCTAGAGTGCGAGAAATTAATCAAAACGAAGGTAACGTCTACGAGTAGCGATTATATTAAAGAGAACCATTATGTTATAATGTTAAGAAAAGCCACTTATTATTTCTTTAAAATAAACTTAGCTCCTACTTGGACTGGTGGGGGAAAAAGCGCTATTTATACCCATCCTTTCCAAAATATATTTTATTAAAGATTTGGTATTTTTTCCAGGCAAACTATTCTTTTATCATCTATACTAATAATAAACTAAAGAGTTTGTTTATTATTTGATTGGTTGAACTCAATAATCTCAGGAACTACTGGTTTGAATTGAGTTATTTATTTGTATATAATATTTATTAATAAATAATGGGCTATTTATCGAGGAAGGCTATACGCTATGACTAATAGGAATGGAGCAGCAATGAAATATGTTGCAAAAACGCGAGAATATTTTACTTTTTGAGAGCTTTCTTGAGTGCGCTGCGTAAACGGTGAAAGTTACGCAAAAGTATCAAGTATTACGAAATTGATTACAAAATATTGATGAAAATACGCTCTGTAGTAGCGAAAAAGTAACCAGTTGAAAAAATCGTCAGGGTAGCTAAAAGTTTAAAGGAGTCGCCTGGATTGCGAAAGGTTATGGGTTCGAGTACCATCTCAGAGTGCAAACTTATTGTTTCGTCACATCCGTCTGTCTGCCCGTCAGTCTGCGGCTTAGCTTCAAATCGATTGATATTAGAAAGGTGTAATTTAGCATAAGTATACACGTTAGTAACGCTGAGAAAGTGGTAAAATAAAGCATAGAGTATTGTTGCATAGGTCTTTCAAAAATATTAGGGGTGTGGGAAGACCGTTTTAGAATTAGTTAACCGTTCCTGACTTTATTAAACTTCAAAGTGCCAATTTTCGTTAGTCAATTGCCCCCCTCCCACTCTACCAACTAAACGGTTGTTGTTAGAAACTCAAACGTTACGACAGTAGCATTTATATATAACGAATTTAATAGAACAACTATCACACATAGGTTAGCTTAACAAGTTTTCGAGTAATAGTCGGCCAAATGTATTTAACTCAAAAACTTCGAACACCTTCTTTGAAAAAAAACAATCGTGATTTTTAATTGTTTTCTGTAATGATACATGACCCTTCGTTCACGAATCTGCCTTGCGCTTGATCGGTTTTTTTGTTAACATTTTTTAATGGAAATTTATTCATTTTGCGATAAATGTACTAAATCGCCGATAATTATGAATGACAAAAAAATACTTGAAATGATCTTTATTATTATTATTATTTAGATAGCAACTAAAATTCAATGAAACCGAGTTAAATAATAAATTGGGCCAAAAAAATTCTGAGTAGACTATGTTTATTTTCCATAAATTGTTGCTTTCATTGGTCTAATTCATGTTATTAACAGCACCTAAACAATTTTGCCAGTAAGGCTTAGCATAATATGTCAAAATCTACTTATTAAATACTTAAATTAGTAATCAACTATATTTTCGATACCTACAAATTGAAGAGGTGTCAGAATATCCGTTGACAAAATTTAATTTGGCGTTACGCTCTGAAAATGCTGAATAGAGAAAGCAAGAACAAGCTGACCGTCAAGTTGCTATGAGTATTAGTCATAGAATCTTGCATAAGCATAGCGAGGACAATTAAAACGACTTAAAGAAAATATTTATTTGTATTTTTAGCAAGAATTGTCGATTCTACTGCACCCTAAAACGAAAAGAAGAACAACTGGACTATTCTATGAATATATGCGCGTTATACACAAAAACACCGATAGATTTTCCATAATTGGTTCCTTCTATTGGATATACCTAAGCCCCAGCAGTGGGTATGTTGATAAGCTAATGATGATAATATAAAGGTGGATGCTCATTGGCAGATTTTCAATTAAAGATAGTTTAAGACTCCAGTATAACAAGCCAGCGTACCTGCAAGTAATAATAATGGTAGTGCTAGTAATTTTTGTAGGTAATAATTTTAATCTAGAAAACAGATACATATTGAAGAGGCCGGAACTGAGGCTTTCAGCCACTATAAGTACACTATATTTACTCGTGATATGCATATTTATTAAGACACATTGGTTTCAACGTTTTTCGACGATAAAATTTATTCCAGTCACGACACCTTTATTTCATACATTTATATAGCAGGCTGTTTTGAATGCTCTATTGAATCTTTAATGGTTCTGTAATGTATCCTTCAGTGGTAGAAGTAGTTTATTCATATTGTTATACTCTCATTTTTCCAATACAGTCTGAAAGATTTTTTCATGCAGCTATATCATATAGCCTGTGTATAAAAGAATTAGTAGTAATTATACTTCTACCAATTAATGTAAAAAATGACAAGTTTGTGTTTGGACAATGACTGCAAATACGATTACTAACTGCTCTTATGGCTGATCTGCATATAATTAATTAGGTGCCCCCATGGGTACAGCAGCCCTATTTTTTTTATTAGCGTTTAAGTCGACGTTGAGCAATAACGTTGTCACAGCATTTATGGTGTGGTAGTCCGTTAGTTTGAAGTGTTCATTCCGTAAGTGCTCTTTGATATCACGACGGTACTCAAAATC